CAGAGAGCGCTGGCGACCTTGGCCCCGCAGGAGTGCGTCCTGCTTGTGCTTCAGCTCCAGCAGCTTGGCCCGCACCTCCTCGTCCCCGCACAGGTCTGTGGAGAAGCGGGCAGAGGGTCAAGGGCGCCCCCCCTCTGCCCACATGCACCTCGAGGAGGTGGTCCCAGCTCACCAAGAGGCGTCTCTTCCATCAGGGACTTTCCATTGAGGTCGGCACCGTGTGCCACCAGCAGCTCCACCAGGTGCACCTGCGGGCCAGCGGACCAGGCTGCTGAGCTCCAGAGCTGGGGACCACCGGCGCCCGGCCGCCCACTGCTCCAGCCCACTCACCTGGCCCCAGTACGCGGCAGCGTGCAGCGGCTCCCAGCCATCACGGTCCTTGGCGCCCAGGCTGACCCGGTGCTCCAGCAGCAGGGCCGCTGCCTCGCTGAACCCGTTGGCGGCGGCGATGTGTAGCTAAGGCAAACCACCCCTCCTGAGTCCTGGCCGTGCCCGCAGCACCCTCCACCCCTTGCATTCCCGCGCCAGTCCTCACCAGCGTGGCCCCGTGGTCCCCAGGGGCATCCAGGTCGGCCCCCGTCCGCAGGAGGCCTCGGATGTGCTCCAGCATGTGCAGCTCCGGCAAGGCCCGGGCCCCCTCAATGCCGTCCTGGGTGATGCCTGCAGGGCAACAGGCTCAGAGCCAGCACCACGGGCCCCACCCCGGCAGCGGTGGGATCACACTCACCCCGGTTGGCCATGGCCGTCTCCAGGCAGTCCAGCGTCTGCTCATCCTCACATAGGTCGTAGGGCATGTTTCCATCGGTGTTGACTGCCAAGAGGTCAGCACCACTGCAGGGAAGATGGACAGGGTGCTGGCCATAGGGCCCTCTCACCTTCTCCCTACAAGGGAGGCCCCCAGACCCCACTCAGAGGTCCTTCCTCCCCCAAAGCCTCAGCCTAGGGCTGCCTCCTGGGCATGTGGGGCTGACAATGAGGCCCAGGCCCCAGATGCTGCTGGGAGAGGCTGCCCCTGGCCTGTTGGTGCCCCTCAGCCTTGGCTCCTGTCCTCAAGCCCTGCAGTCTCCTCCTGTGTCTGTCGGTTACTGGCAGCCATCAGCCCCCATGAACATGCACATTGGGCCCACCTGCCAGGAGTGGGTGATGTTACTCTGGAGGCCCCAGGGGCAGAGCCTGGGCACCAAGACAGCCCTGCAGAGCTGCAGGGAGCAGAGCTCACATGGGAGCCTAGAGGGGGGGACACGGGTGGGTGCCCACTGTGGAGAGGAGAGGGGCTCAGTACTGCTCCTCTCCCTCGCACATACCATCGATGCCTGGGACGCTCCACAGACAGTCTGAGCACCTAACCATCTATCCTACCAGAGGGGTCAGAGTTGAGGAGCTGTGCGCGGGGGAGGGGGGACTACTGGATCCGGTGAAGCCGACCATCGGCACGTTCACTCCTCATGGTAAAGGCCTCACCTGGGTCCAGGTACTCCCTCCCTCTTTGCCAGTTTCACCCTCATCACTGACCAGATGGCATTTCTCTGTACAGGGCCTGGGGAGGCCAGGAGGCCAGTGCTGGAGGTCAAGGCCCACCCTCAAGGAGCCCCTGAATTCCTGACAGTACTTGGCAGGATATACCCAGGTCAGCAGCCAGGCGGGCGGATGACCCTGTCCAGAGTGCGTGTGGCCCCTGCCCACGCCCGGCTCTCCACGCCAGGACACAGGCAGTAAGCAAAGGCCAATGGGAGCAAGAGGCAAGGGCACACTTCCTCCAGATGAGGTGCCTGGGCTGTGTCTCAGGACCAACTGCCCGCTGCCCAGCCATGGTCCCTCCCTGACACAGATGCCCACTCTGGCCACACCTGCTCCCAGGGGCCCTACCGGGCAATGAGCAGCTCCACCAGGTGCAGGTGGCCGCAGGTGGCCGCAGCGTGCAGGGGGGTCCAGCTCTCACTGTCGCGAGCGTTGACCGTGGCCCCGGCCTCGAGCAGCTGTTGCACCATTTCCCGGAAGTCGTCGATGCAGCTCTGTAAACCAGGCAGCCTGAGCACCAGGCCAGCCCCCAGCCCCCAGCCCCCAGCCAGCTCCGCCCGCCCAGCCCCTGCAGGGCTCACCTGGTGCAGGGCCGTCAGACCATCCTCGTTGGCCAGGTCCGGGCTGACCCCGCTCTGAAGGAACTGGCGGACTGCAAGAAGGAGGGGGGTGTGCTCAGGGGGCAGGAATGGAGATCCTGCCACAGGCCGGCTCTCTCCTGGGCAGGCCCTGCACCTGAGGTGACCTGGCTGACTGCTGTGCTGTGGCTGGGAGCAGAGAAGGACGAGGAAGATGGTGGCACAGGTGCAGGTCTCTGCCTCCAGCCCCCAGCAGGACCCACCCTTCCCAAATCCTGGCACTCCGCCCCTCAGACTCCCAGATGCACCCCATCCTGTGTGAGCACGGTCGCACTGGGCTCCAGACTACCCCACTCTGGCCTGGGTGTTGGCACCCTCCTCCAACCCCCCCATGTCCCGTGTCTCCCCCCCAGCCTTCCCCACAGACCACTTGGCCCCCACAAACGCCCTTCCCTGGTACCTGCCCCCCCCCGCCCCCCCGCGGGCTCCCAGCCCTGCTGCAGCCTGGAGTGTGGGCTGAGGTGCCAGGCCTGCCCCCCAGGGTCTCCCTAGGAGCAGAACTGGCCCGGCCCTCACTCCTCTTCAGCAACCCCACCTTGGGCCCAGGCTCTTGCCAAGGTCACCTTTGACCTCTCTGTGGCCTGGACCTCCCTGGGGGTGCTTGTAGGCAGCACAAGGACGCACCCTCTTTCCCACAGTGCCCTGTGCCCTGTGCCACACCCACCGCGCCCTGTCCACCTCCCCAGCCGCGGGCCTTCCTCGCCCCAGGCTCTGCAGCAGAGGCCCCTATCCTGGAAGGAGGTCGGGGAGGGACGGGGAGCCTGCCCAAAGCTTAGGCCAGGAATCTCCTGAGGCAAAGCCCTGCTCCCCACAGGACTCTCCTGAGCACCGTCCAGCCCCCAGGCCTTTTCCTCCCGGGTCCCTAGACCAGTCCCTAGCAGGAAGACTAGGCCGCCCCAGCCCACTGCAGCCACGCCCTGGACACCTCTCCAGGCTCCTAGGAGCCTCACATCTGAAGCAGGAGCCTGCATGCTGCCCCTCACCTGCAGCCACAGCTGAGGCAGCTGGGCTGGACCCCAGGTCCCCGTGAGATACAGCTGTGTCCTCGGCAAGTCTCACGAGGACGACGCCAGGGGGACAGGGACGGGCTGTAGGCCGGGCACCACCCTAGGGTCAGCCACACTCACCTTCTTCCAGGTCATTTCGGGCAGCGGCCTCGAGAAGGGTGACACTGGGCGGGAAGAGGACCCGCTTCTGCAGCCTGCCGCCAGCCGCCTCCTTCCGCAGCCGCTCCCTGTGGCCCTTTCTGCCCTGGGCCTCCTTCTCAGCCTGGGCCCACATCTTCACTTGCTGGGCACGGCGCTTCTGGGCGTGCTTCAGCCGCTCCTGCGTGCTCATCCTGCTCACCGCGGGCATCTCTGCCAGCAGCTCCAGGTGCTCGGCCATGGCGGGGGCTTCTCGCCAGGGGGGTTGCTCGGGGCACCAGACAGGGAAACAAGGGGGCCAGGCTGGGCCTGAGGGGCGGGGCAGCCGGCTGGACTGGGACCCTCGCGGGCATCCCCTCCTCAAGGCCCGGTGCCCTCTGCCCCTGGCAAGGCTGGGTCAGGAGATCCCGCTCCGTGACCAGGCTCAGGCAGCCCAAGGGGCACAGGCCCCTGGCAGAAAGGGC